TAAGCTAGACGGCTGGAACTTTTTGAAGACGTCCCTTTCCCAAATGTGGTCCAAAGTTTTAAATTTAGTATCCACGCATCCCAAGTTTCACGCAAGTACACGTTAAGGTATGTGTTGAAGTTAAAATTGTTATCTTCTCAACACGAGAATTAGACTGAGTGGGAAGCTGCAGTAAATTGCAGTTTTACAACGTTTTTGTGTACTGGTATACTCGCAAAGATAAGTTGTGTTTTTGCGGCCCTCTGCTTTCCACGCAGAAACACGAGAAATTTGACATAGACGATTTTTTAACGTCGGAAATAAAGAGCTAAAGGACTGAAATTTTTTGAGCATGGTCGACGAATATGCTTGGGCAGATGCATGCAAAACAACTTCCACGTCTTTTTTTTTGCGTTCTACGTACGTCTCGAGTGTAAACATATGAAATTTGGGCAGTTCCACAACAAAAACACCTAAAGTGCTGAAACTTTCTGAGCATTGCCCAGGATTGTGTTTGGAAAGGCGTGTGTAAAAACATTCGCAAAATTATGGCTGGCGTGTGTAAGCATCGCAGTAATACCACCAGCATGGGTGCGAGAGGACTTATTCTCCATGATATTTTCAGCATATTTATCTACCCAGATGAACGACTAGTAATTACAGCTTTTCTTTTCCAGTTAGTTTTTCAGTCGGCACGGTGCCAACTGTGAACTGTGACATGTATGCAGATACAGTGTTAGTGTAGGCGACAGCTGAATTTCAAATAGCTCACCCATGGACAGAGAATGTTCCTGCAAAGTTCCAGCTCCTTTTACCAGTTCTCGAAATCATTTTCAGTCAAAAAATCTTTTGCGTATTTTTCTTTCAGGCATCCAGGGCACGCACGAACGTTGATTTTAAAGCGGTACATGGGGTGAGAATATGTTCCTACAATTCCAGCCTCCCAGCTTCCCTCCCTGTTAAATTGTTTTTAAAACGGGAGGATGCCACGCCGGGTAACCCTTTCAGTGCCATGACTTGTATGACTTACGTTTGGTCACACTTGCATTTCCAATAAATGCAAAATTCTACTAGTCTTTTGATGTGTTCAGGCCACTGCCATGAATTTGCTACAAACCAACGCGAATTTTGTTCAAGCAAACGAAAAAATATGTAAAAAGGTGAACAATGAACTTTACAAATGGTAAATTTTCTACTAGACTGCTAACAAATAATATGCTAGAGAAAATCGGGGATGAAATTCGCAACGCCGATGCAATAAGAGAGGCGATTCTGAGCAAGTGATCCACTATAAGACAAAAGCACGCAAAAGTGCAGCGGTCATCTACCTTCTCAAAGCCACACGTAAATCAGCTGATAATAATTATGAACCGTGAAAAGTTATTCGAATAAGAAAATACATGCATGCAAGTACACATACATGCATACACACATACACATGCGTGCATACACATACCTACACACATAAAATTCCTCAAAATGCCTTTTTGATTTCGATGACAAATTCTTCAAAGCAAAATTTGGAAACTTTTCGTACATAGCATTTTCGTAAATAAATGATTAGTATATAAAAGGGTCACAGCCGAAAAATGTATCTATCAGCTTCTTAAAAACTTGAAACGAAAGATATTGTTGCCTTATTGGTACACATAACAACTGTTAACGCATGTGAAATGAAATCGCCTGTGTTTCATAGCGCCGTTCTAAAAAGCGTAAGATTTTGGAATCTGTTGATATGGTTGGCTGGTCAGTGCGACACCTCATCTTAAATATGATTTTATTTGACATTCAGTTCACAAATGATTCGAGCATTGCAAGAATCTACTTCAGTTCACAAGTGAATCAAGAACTGCAAGAACCCAATTAATATTGCGCAGTAAAAGCATATGAGATGTGAGATGTGTAATGAGATGAATGTCAAACATAGATGAATTTCATATATTCTGGAAG